AGATCATTCTTCAAGTTCTTATGTTCATTTAACACTCTGTTATGAATTTTTTCCTATAGTGATACATGGAGCTCTAATTCACATTAAAATGATTCTTCTTACCCAAGAATGTGGTATTTTTGCAAGCTTTTCTACCCTTTAGACAATTTATTATACTTTTCCAAAAAGATACTAAATATTTTTTGTTACACTTATTCCTAGATAACTTATAGATTCCCTTGTTATTCTCTAGGCTGAGCACAAGCAAACTGTAAAATAAATAAAAGTGATATATTCAGAGAATGATGGACTCATAAAGTAAAAAATGGAAGAATTAGTAGAACATTTATAGGACAGAATATGAAGGACTACATTAGGCAGGTTAATAAAAACCAACTTATATGAGGAAATTCTATTTAGGCTGATACCCAGACATATGAAAATAGGGAGTAATAAAGACCAGCAACATAATGTCCTCAAGAAGATCACTATCAAAATGTGTCCTCTCATTAGGAGGAGAGGATAAACTTCAGGGACGACATACATTTTGCTACATCTGCCCAGATCTTGTAATTTACTTCCATTGTTTCCTAAGATCAAGTAACTTGTTATCTCTTCTGGTCCAAGCCCACCCCATCACCAGGCATCATCTTTAGGAAAGCTCCATATTCAACCCAAAGTCTTGCACAGTGAGCTGACAATAAAATAAAGGGATTAAAAGATGGAGTTGTTCATTGATTAGGGTATTGAGGTTGACTACATGAACTAGTCCTCAACTTTCTTCCAACAGTGTTCATTTAAATTTAAAAAGAAATATATGAAAGAGGGTAGTGTCAATAAAGCACTTAGTCAGGTTTCCTTCCAAAAGACAAAAAAAAAGTGGGGGTGGGAGGTAGTTTAAGTGGGTATATAAGGAGTATACCATAATGGTAATATTGATTTTCCACTAACATGTTATTTTGAAAACTGATCTTGACAGTGCTTATTATAGACTTCTCCCACCTCCAGATGACTCATAGCCTCAAGGATATTCAGGAATGGAAAGGGACATTAGCTCTTCTTCAACTTTCACCATCAACCAAGCAATTATTTTCTATGTCCTTGAGCAATTTCCATTTATGTGACTCATAGCACTTCTTACAAACTCTCACGACTATACAATACTTAGTATTATAGTGCATAGTTAGGGCAGAACTTACAAGCCAGACTTTACAGTTTACTTCATCATGTACTGCATTATGTAACCTTTCTGGTTCTTAGTTTTTCCCTCTTCACATGCTTATTTTTCTCTTAATTGGTTGATGTACTTGAAACAGATCAGGACACATAACAAGTATTCAATATACATTATCTGCTACTAATCATTTCTCTGACAAGTGCCCTGCTCCTTCCCTAAAAAATGATGTTCTTAGAAAATGACCTTAGCAATTACTTTACAGCTGACATTGCCATCAAGCCTGAAATCTTGTGTACTCTCATCTATACTCTTTTTCTACTTAGTCTTTTCCATTCTTCCCCTTTGATGTCCCATTATAAAAATTATTCTTCCATCAAAGGATGATTAGCTGTGCATGAGATAGAGTCTCCTTCAGAACCTTGTTCATTAACTGTAGTCTTTACCAAATATCCTTAACTTTTCTTTCTTTAATGACTCTTTAATTTCAGCCCATAAGTTTGTCCTCTTATCCATAAAAAAAAAAAAACTCCATGGTATAGTTAATTTAAAAGACAGTTTGGTAGTGTTTTTACAAAACTAATTATAGTCTTACCATTCAATCCAAAAATCACACTCCTAGGTATTTAACCAAATGAGTTGAAATCTCATTTTCATAAAAAATACCTGCAAATGAATGTTTTCATCAGTTTTATTCATAGTTGTCAAAAACTGAAAGCAACTGAGATGTCATGCAATAGGTGAATGGATAAACCGAGTGTGATACATCCATACAATGAACTATTAACAATAGAAAGAAATGAGCTATTAAGATACCAAGAAACATGGAGGAAACTTAAATGCATATTGTTAAGTCAAAAACTTAACTGAAAAAGCTACATGTTTTATGATTCTTACCATATAATATTCTGGAGAAGGCAAAACTCCTGAGGAAATGAAAAGATCAATGGCTGCCAGGGGTAAGGAGTGGGAAAGGAAGAAGAATGAAAAGATAGAGCACATGGGATTTTTAGGATTATTAAATTTCTGCATTATGCCGTCATGATTAATATACAACAAAAGTTTACACACATCACTTCATAGTAACACCTAGACCAGAATTTCACTGAATAACTAGGAGAAGGTGTGTACACCAGGGGTACGAATCTTAGGTTCCATCTTAGAATTCTGCCTATGACACTGCCTTGTCCTATGCTCTCGCTTCTTTTGTGATAGTAGACTAAAATTGATGTTCCTTATGCTTACAATTTGGGCCTTTTCTCTTTCCATATATTCCCTATTTATAGAGAAATATTTCCATATTTCCCTATAAAAAGTAGTTGAATCCATTTCCATAGATTCAAGTACTTTTTATAGAAAGTTAACCACATCTCATTAACTCATTTGAATTCCATATACATATTTCTAGCTGCCTCTTAGTAATATCTATTGGGATTTCCAATGGAGAATCAAGGAAAAGTTATAATGTCCCATTTCACACACATAAAAATAAGAACACGGCTCTCCTTATCACCTTTTCTCTTTGAATAAGATTGGTATTTTTTTGCAGTTGCTCAAAGTCAAAAACTTTAAACTTCTGTTAATATTTTCTGAAGAGTTACTATAGATGAGGGACTCTCTTAAATTCTTTATAAGTATTAATATCTTATCCTAATCTCTGTGGGACAGATACCAGTATGTGGAGATTTTGCATAGGGGATTGTATCTAGTAAGTAGTAGGGCAAGGGTCAAAATCATCTGGCTCAAGATCTAATCTCTTAACAACTCTGCTCTCTATGTTCCTTTCTCATGTCCACTTGGCCATCAAGTCCTACTAATTCTATCTCTGCAATATCACTCAAACTCACATCCTTATTTGTAACTCTGCTATCATGACCTGATTTAGGTTCCTAGAATATTTCTCTATCTCTAGAGTAGTGTTTCTGTCTGTACCTTTTACCTATTTCAGACAACCTTCACGTGACTTCTTGCCATGTCATGTCAATCACACTTAACAAAATTATGTTTATATTTCATTTGTTTAGCGTCTTTCCAAACTCTATAGCCTACCATACAAAGTCTATCTCTATTGGATTCCTGCTGAATTTTTCTGTCTTTTTTTTCCCCTCATGACTGAAGACATTTACATCTTTCTTATGAAACTTTTCTCTTTGCATGTGTGCCTTCCCTTCAATATTGTGAGTTGCTTGGAGCAGGAGTCAACATAGCACAATGACTGGTGTATAAAATGCACTTAACAAATATGCATTGAATAAATTGTATTTAGATTATTTTTTCAAGATCCATGTTTTGAGATTCATTTTAAAAGATGGCTTCAAACCAGACACGGTGGCACATGCCTATAATCACAGGAACTCAGAAAGCTGAGACAGAAGGATGGCAAGTTCAAGGGCAGCCTTAGCCACACAGCCAAAAAATGGGCTTAGGGATGTGGTTCAGTCAGTGAACTGCCCTGGGTTCAATCCCTGATTTTAAAAAAAAATAACTTCAAGAAAGTAAATGAAAAGCTTATTTCCACCAATATATACCATATAGTTTTATTTACATGGAGTAGACTAGCAGGTTATTAACTCTACGTGGAATATCATTTTCTATCTGTTGAGATGAAGTCATGGGGTCTGATTCTTCATTTAATGGGTTACACCAATATCTTTGTTCAAAAAGGTATTTAACTATGTTTATTTTGATTGTTTGCAGGTAGATGGATCCATACTGTTGGGGGTTTTTTGTTTGTTTGTTTTTGTTTTTTAATATATATTTATTTTAGTTGTAAATGGACCTTTATTTTATTTATATGTGGTGCTGAGACTGGAACCCAGGGCCTCACACATGCTAGCCAAGCGCTCTACCTCAGAGCCACAACCCTAGACCCAACTGTTGGGTTTTTAATAAGACTGATTCACCCTGCCTCACCTTACCTGTACTTGTTTTACTGCTAGATGGTTCATCTAAAGCTAATCCAACCATAAACTGCATAGACCCTTGACTGTTAAAACTAATGGAAAATGGCAGGCATCACTGGAGTGAACAGGATCACCCAATGCATTTAAAGGGCTAAAATAAGCCAAAATTTTCCCCATAGACTGATTCAAATGTTCTTCCTCATTTTGCGATGAACGGATACCCAAAACTGGTTAGTTTGGGGGGACTTTGTGTTTCTGCTTTGGCAAAACAAGCAAGGTTAACTTCTTATGGTTAGCATTTTAAAATAAATCCTCACACCAGAGAACTTTCAATCGTGCTCTCACTTGCCAAGCTTGCCTTCCTTCCTGGTTTACACTTCTAATGATTTTCGTGAGTTGCTCCTGCTAAACCCCGAGGGTGGACTCCTGACCTCCTTGCTAGATGTGCGAATGATGCCAGGGTTAGTGACTGCTCTGCGGCTCTCCAAAGCTCCTCCTCCCCAGACAGCGACAGCTCTTCGGATGCAGAGGTTGGGAAGCAGGACAGGGGACACTCCCGGGGTGCAGCTCGGAGCGGGGGAAGCCGGATCCTGGATGCTGAAGAGGCCGCGCAGGGGACTGGCGTGCGCGTGCCATGCGGAGCGTGGACTCTTTCGGCCATCCCCCTGCTGCTCAACCTGCCCCCGACTCGCTTCTCCGGCTGGGCCGCCCGGCGCGGGCCGCTGTCCACAGTGGGAGGTGCTGAAAGCAAGGAGCGGGCGCGGGGGCGGCGAGGTGGACAGCTCCTCCGAGCGCCCCCCTCCCCGCTCCGCGGCGCCTCCAGCCCTCCCCTCCTCCCGCAGCCATGTTCCACGCGCGGGGAGGGGTGGGGGAAGGGGAGAGAGACGGGGGACCAGGGCGGAGAGAGCCGGCTCTGCCTGGGGGAAGGAGGGGATGAGAGTTGGGGGGAGCAGCGGGAGGAGGAGGAGGCGGCGGCTAGCGAGGAGCCGGCGCTGGGTCCTGCAGTAGGGCTCCCGGGAGCCACCATCATGGTGAAGAGGAAGAGCTCCGAGGGCCAGGAGCAGGACAGCGGCCGCGGCATCCCGCTGCCCATCCAGACCTTCCTGTGGCGCCAAACCAGGTGAGGGGCGCAGAGGGCGCGCCGCGGGCGCCCTGGGCTGGGGCGCTCCTGGGGCCGCGGGGTCGCCGCCGCTGTCACCGCTGCCGCTGAGGCCGCGCCACAGCCTGCAGCTCCCTCTCTGGGGCTGGAAAGCCAGCCCTCTGCACCGGTTTAGAAACACGCATTTGGAAAAAAAAAAAAAAAAAAAAAATTCAGTGAAGTTTGACGACAAGCAGATTGGCAGTTTTCAAATAAATATATACATTATTTAGAGGGTGGGAGGGCAAAGAGTCTGGGAAGAGGGGGTGGATGGCTAGGGAAGATAATTATGACTGGTTGTGCTCCTGCGTCCAATTCCCCCTCCATCTCCGGCTGTAATTCCAGCCTGGTGACCTGTTGTTTTCCGGCTCTTGTTCGGTGGATATTTGTTATGCCCACTTGTTAACCATTTTTGCCCAGATTCATCTGGCGTAATCTCTCTGGTAAAAGCCCCTGAAGAGAATGTTTTTTGATAAGGGATTTCTCCCCCACCCTGGACAGGCCTGAAACCTATTCCAATAAAGAGCAAAGAAGGTTCCCTATTTATTTATTATTATCATTATTATTACTATTATCATCGAGATTTATCAGATAAGAAATTAGATCCTGGCAGTCATGATCCACAGAGTGTTCGTTTTTCAGTTGTTAATATGACTGTGCACAAGAGTAATGCACCACTTCTGACCATTGGCAATATAGAATCTGATTAGGTAAAACTCTTGAGAATTAGAGTGGATCTGGAAAATTGTAGAGATTCACGTCTTTTTCATATACCGAATTACAAGTGTAAAAGCAAGTGTCCTCGGCTGTTCAACACCTGCTCATTAACCAGCTATAAGGAAGCATGAAATTTGAGTTTCATAGCTCCGTGTCTGTTCATTGAAAAATGTGTCATAAGATGCTTTAATAATAATTTTTCTCATGTTTATAATAAGTGTCTCCCTTAATTTTTCAGTGCATTTTTGAGGCCTAAACTGGGGAAGCAATATGAAGCTTCTTGTGTGGTACGTGATTTTCACCATTAAATGTTTATTTTCATATTCTGTGTGGTGATTTGAACTCAAAGAAAGAATTAAATCATACTGACTACACATATTAAATCATTTGGTAAATATTATTGAGCACCTACTGTGTGCCAGACACAATTCTACTGATGGGATTGAGCGGTGGCAGATAGGCCACAAACAAATGTGAAAATAAAACACATAAATAATAAGCCACATGGTGATAAGCACTGGAGAAAAAAAAAAGCAACAAAGGGGATTGAGAAACACCTTAGTAGGAGTTTGTTTTATAAGGGGAGAGTAGATAAGACTTAACTATTAATGTGATGCTTGGGCAAAGACATGAAGGAAGGGAGAGAGAATAACATAGTGAGGGAAGAGCGGAGAGACCTTGAGCTAGAGGACATGGGCACCCAATGGGGAAGTGAGGGATAGAGTGGGGAGGAACTGAGTGCTGGAAGAAAGGAGAGAGACAATAGAACCAGGCATGGAGCCCCTTCCAAGGCATGTGTGAAAAGTCACATTGGTAATCAGCAAAATCGAGATTATTATACAGTGGATGTTCCTATTATGAATTGCTATGAGCCACTTGAACACAATAATAGACATTTCTGTTTTATGTTTGCCATACACTCTGGAAGTTTGAAAATGAATAATGTAAAATTATTACAAGTGAAAATAATGCTATTAATATTTATACAATGTGCACCTGTCTTGGGATTCTAAGAGAATCCCATTTCCTTACAAAGTCCCATTTTGTAAATGGAAAAAAAAATAAGATGTGATATCATGAAGCAAAATTGAAATAGATTTTAACAGATTTCCTTAAAATGTGGAGCTCTCACAAATGCCTTGACATTTCATGTATTATAATGTGAAAGTAGAAACCTACCCCTTTGGATATTGCCATGCATGTTTAAAAACAGCTACGTGGATGACTTTCTGGTGAGGAGCACTGAGGAATCGTGACTTGTGATGGAAGCCAACAGGAGAGCTAGAAACACACACATACTCAAGTAAACATTTTTTTATTGAGTCTCCTGTCCGTCAAAATTGCCACATAGATATATTTTTTTTAAATGTAGCTTTCTTATACGGGCCTGTTAATGGAACTTCTCGTTGTACTTGACTCATTAGAATAATTTGACAATTGAAATTTCTAAGTCTTTCTTAAAACTATGCTGCCAATTACAGTATTTTAAACCAACCATTATTTTTCTCTGTTCTTAGCAAAGTCATGTCTGACATTTTTGGTTTAGCCACAAAATATCAAATAGCGGTTACATTTTTTGGATGGGTAGATAGATAGGGATAGAGGTATTTAGACATCCATATGAAAAACAGTTTTCAAGGTTTAAAAAATTATAAAAAGTTGGGTTGGGGTTGTAACTTGGTGGTAGAGCGCTTGCCTAGCATGTGTAAGACACTGGGTTCCATTCTCAGCACCACATATAAGTAAATAAAGGTCCACCAACAACTAAAAAACAATATTTAAAATAAATTATAAAAAGTTACATTAGTAGCATTTAAGAACAAAATGAAATACATAACGCATCCTCTTTAGTATATTCATTAGACTATATAAATTTTTTAAAAATCTTTTAGTGTCTAACATACTCATCCTTTACTTAATGAATACTTCAGTTGAGGAATTTTAAAGTAGTTGGATCTGTATCGCCAGCATATCTAAAGGCCTTTATTTCATTTCTTCAAGAAAAACAAATATTACATATGATTGTGCTTCTTATCAAAGCCTCAGTCATTCAGTTAGAACACTTGGGTCTTGTACTATGATCCTTCTCCAAGACAATTACACAAGGTTCTTAAACATGTGTAAGGGGGTATCAAACATGTTCTTAGAAGTTACATATTCATTATCATCACTCTAATATCTGATATCTTTACTTTCCCCAATACCTTGCAATGACGTTCTCCTCCACCCTCAAACAAAACAAAATAAAAACCAAAATGAATAAACAAACAAAAACCCTGAGTAGATCAAATTTGTTACTTGTTCTAGGGTGTCTCATCTCTGAGAGCATCCCTGGCAGGGATAGAAGAATTTATAAGCTGCAAAGACAAGATGGCTTCTCTCATCCCTCCCTCCTTTTCTTCCTTCTGTTCTTTCTCTATTCAACAGATATGAAGTGGGTTTTTTTTTAAATGTTTCCAGTATTAAGTTAAGGAGTGTTCTCTGCCAGGTCATTGCTAGGGACATGGAATAAATCAGTGACCCCAAAAACAGATTGCTTGGCAGAGTTGTGTCTTAGTTAACACCTGTTGAACAAATTGACATAAATTCTATCTCTCAAGACACCTTTGCAGAACACATTTCATTTTGGTCTGCAGTTGTGACAGGCCTGTTGGATGACTCAGAACATTTTAAAAAATATTGTGTTCAAAAATCTCACAAGGTTAAATACATCTCTGTTATAGGAAGCTTATTTTGACAGAAATGATAATCATTTAACAATTCAAGCCATATCTTTGGATCAAAAGCCTGCAAACGGGCAGATAATAGGAATTCATGACCGATCCAGTGTAGGTCAACATATGTGTAAGATGCAAGTGAGTGAACCCTAAGGAATTTGGTCCAGCAACTTGTATCTTCTAGGTTATATAGTACCTTGATATCTACTTTTTACCAACCAGAATCTCAAATTCATTATTTTATATGCTTTTCTTTTTAAATCTACAGTCCTTTGAACGAGTGTTGGTAGAAAACAAGCTGCATGGCCTCTCTCCAGCCCTTTCTGAAGCCATCCAGAGCATTTCCAGATGGGAACTGGTGCAAGCTGCTTTGCCTCATGTTCTCCACTGTACCGCAACTCTGCTTTCCAACCGGAACAAGCTAGGTTGGTGTTCCTGCATTACTTGTTTATTGCATATTGTTGTCCTATGTGTTCAATACTCATTAAAAAAAAACATGCATTGAGTGGTTGTTATCGTCCCATGCACTGTTCACATATCATCTTATTTAATTCTCAAAATTCTACTCACATCAGTACCATCATTATTTCAATATTACTAGTGAACTGACTGTTGTTTTTAATTGTTCTAAGTGAATGACTCTCATCTGTCCTAGATGAGTCCTACCTAGAGGTTTCCTCTTCGACCTCCCAATTCTTCAAGCAACCACTTCATGAATTTGACTATTGAAGACATTTCCCCAACTTTGTAGTGGCCTGTGTGTGTGTATGTGGGTGTGTGTACATAAAGATTATTTTCTCATCTGGCACTATGTCCTAGCCATATCCCATGTTAGAGTGCACACTTTTTTTCCATCTCATTCCCTGACCTCATCTGGGCCTCTGCTCAAATGTTATCTCTATAAAGGGGCCTTTCTAGGTCATGATGTCTAAAATAGAATGGTTATTGTCTCCAGAGTCTATATTTTAACCACTATGTTACCTGCTTGGAAATATGTTTGGGTATTTGACAGATGAGATATAATTGCAGATTCTACCTACATGATATAGCATGCTCTTGTACAGAGATTTCAGCCAGCAAGACAGCCCCCCAAACAAAAATGAGCCCTGCTGATAGTAGTTGTTAGAGATGTAGAGAAATGCTAGTGTCTTCTGGAAAATCAAGCTGCAGAGCTAAGTAGAGATATTCTTCCCAGACCAAAGGTTAACATCTGTTGTTCTGGTCAGCGTTTACTATTTCTTGGCTGTGTGGTTGTCCAATGCAGGCCACCAAGATAAGCTCGGTGTCGCTGAGACCAAACTTCTTCACACCCTGCACTGGATGCTCCTAGAGGCCCCCCAGGACTGCAACAGTGAGCGGTTTGGGGGTACAGACCGAGGCTCCAGCTGGGGTGGCAGCAGCAGCGCTTTCATCCACCAGGTTGAAAACCAGGGTTCTCCAGGTCAGCCCTGCCAGAGCAGCTCCAATGATGAAGAGGAGAACAACCGGAGGAAGATCTTCCAGAACTCCATGGCTACTGTGGAGCTCTTTGTGTTTCTGTTTGCTCCTCTGGTACACAGGATTAAGGTGAGCGGTATGCAGGCATTAGGCATGGGTGGGATGGAGTCAAGGTGAGAGTGGGCTTCAAACGATATTTCCATATTTGGTTATCCATGTCTTCATATGGTCGTATGGCAAATCAAGGCAGGGAGGGTTTGATTTTGGGATTAAACTTCTGCACATTACCTTAAAAACACAAATCTGCATATATCCTTTACCAATCTTCAGTAGTTCTCCATCTGCCTCAAGATAACGTCCAACCTATTAAACATGGTGTATAAGACCACGCATGATATAAAGCTTCAGTCCCTTTCTTGACTTACCAACTGTCAGCCCCTGTTGGCCCCCTCATCATGCAGCCTTGGGAGCCACTGGAACCATTCCCTGAATATGCTCTTGTTGTTTGCTCTGCTCTTGTTCTCTCCTCTCTTCCTCATGGTCCTTCAAACTCTAACTTCAGTATCATCATATCCATGAAGCTTTCCTTTGACCTTCTCCATGTAGACTTTGTCACCAATCTTCTCTGTATTTCTATAACATTTTGTAACTACCTCATTACAATACAGGGTCTAAAGCTGAAGCTTAAAATTTTTACGTGCTATGGACTTTTTGACAGGTTCAGTCTAAGAAGTGCATTTTAAAATATTTTTAAATGTATAAAATACAAAGCATGAGATTACATGAAAACCAATGGTCTTAAAATACAATTATATCCATCTACTGCTGAATCTGGAAAGTACAATATAACTTGAAATCAGTGTGCTACCACTGTCTAACTGGTGACCCTATTTTTGATGTTACTTAATATCTTGGATCCCCAATTGCATGAGATTGTGGATACCTCCAACAAAGCATGGATCTGTGTGAAGACACACATATCATATTATATCTAAGCACCACACTGGAAGGAATGTACTGTACTAATCTTTCAGTAGAATATTATGACATTAATGAATAAATATTCAAGATAGCAATGCATATATGAAGGGGGTTGTGACCATGAGCAATCACTACAAAGGGAGTGGGTTAGAGATTCTTTGTACTCATTTTAGTTTTCTAAAAAAAAAAAAAAAAAAAAAAAGTTCATTTCCCATGGACACTGTCCCATTGCTGATAGGAATCCATTTCAAACTACCTATAAATTCCCCAAAAGCAACACATACATTAGCAACATTACCAATAAAATATGCTAAATTTTTTTGTATTGTTAAGTCAAATTGTTGTTTTAAAACCTGTAACATCCTATTTTAAAAATCTTTTAAAAGGACACTTAATGGAAAGCATCTCTTTAAATGAGAACATCTACCTGGCCTATGGAACCTGCAGAACCCAAGCCCTCTCTGGAGCCTCTCCTTCATTCACTAGCTTCTCTCCTGTTCACTAACCTTTGGGCTCACTGTGGGCTCACCTCAAACCTGATGAGCTCATTCCTGTCTTCAGGTCCTTGCACTGTTTTTTTCTTCGGCTTGAAACATTCATCCACATCCTCTACTTGGATTTTTCACATGGCCCTGTCTTTCTCATCAAATTTCTCACAATTCAAATGTGAACACCTCTGAAAGTTCTTCACTGACCACCTTTGTGTCACCAATATATGATTGCATCCTTTTCCCCTTTTATAGCACTTGCCACTACCAGGAATGACTATCAGTGTTTGTGTACATGTGCACTGCCCATCATGCCCACCTGAACAGCAGTCCTGGCATGAAAGAATGCTGCTTGTCCAGGTCACAACTGTATGTGGCACATGAAGCTCTCAGTAAGTGTTTAATGAGTTACTAACAACTGCAAGTGATTCCAGGTGTCAGCAAGTGTCCCCAGGCAGTGAGCAGAAGGGAATTCTGTGCCCCATTTGCCTGCTGATTATCAGACTATGCAGAAGACTATCTTCTTTCCATGTTGATATAAGCCCATATGAACTGTCCCTCCCTCACCAGTACCATTACTGTCCTTTGCCCTTCAAAACTCCTACCACAAGACCATCTTTTCTATTCTTATTGCAGACAAAGGTGTGCAACTGGGGAAACCACATGGCCATCCAGGCTTGTACTTCTACAGACCTGTGCTCTCCAACCCCAGGGCACTGCACACTTGTCTGTGCTTTGCTTGACTATACTCCCGTGAGTCCCCACTCAGCACTTACAACACAGTATTGTAGGTTGAGCCTCATAGGGGAGGCCTAAGTTCAGTCGGCATGAGGCCAAGCCTCTACATCCTCATCTTCCTTTATTCCTCAACTCCTTGCAGTTGTTCTGCTTGACTCTATGATATGTCAGGCAGTTTTCACACATCATTTCCAATTTTCAACCACCCACATGGAAGTGAGTACCTTTATCTCCAAAGCTGAGGTTCAGAGAGATAACAGTCAAGCTTGTTAATAACCAAAGAGAGATTCAACCCCAATTCCATCTGACTTCCTACAAAGTTTTCTTAAGTTTCTGTACTGCAGTTGTTGTTGTTTTTTCCCCACTAAGGTCTGAATTACTGAACCGCATCTGTATTTTTCAATCCTTATTTCATCAAACCTCAGCTATACTTGAACATACTCTTGAAGCTTTTAATTCTCTTCATGATACCACACACTGCTGATTCTCCTTGCATCCGTATTTCTGCTCCCTCTCTTTTCTAGACTGCATCTCCTTTGACTGTCCATTTAATATTGGGGTCCCCCAGAGATGCATCCTGGTTCTCTTGCTCTTTTTTTTTTTTTTTTTGGAGTGCTGGGGATTGAATTTAGGGGCACTCTGCACTGAGATTCATTAATCCCCTATTTTAAAGTCATTTTAAAATTTTGGGACAGGATCTCACTAAGTTACCAGGCTGGCCTTGAACTTGTGATCTTCCTGCCTCAGCCTCCTGAGTAGCTGAGATTACTGGCATGCCACCATGTATGGCCATCTTGCTCTTCTTACTCTATCATTTCCCTGGAAACCCCCCCCCCCATTAATTTACCATTTGTGTCCTATAGGCTGAGATCACATAATTCTGCATATCCAAGGCAGACTCTTCTCTTGACCTGTGGACCAGATTTTCAACTCACTTCATCTATGGGCATTTCAGACTTTTTCTGGTGGAGCCCTTGTCCCTATATTCTGTATTTCAGATCCTTCACACAAACTACCTTTACTTATAATCTCATCCTTATCTGCGCATTCCACTAATCACACATTCCCACCCATTTTTTCTCCTAAATATTTTTCAGACTCACCACACCTTCTTGATACCTATTTACAACCTTAACCTAAGTGTCTCTCTTTCTTGGAACTTTTTCTTTCTCCATGGATGCACAGTCTCCTGTTTCCCTCATAAAATCCAACATTAACACCCAAATGACCTATCTGAAGTGTAGATCTGACCATGTCACCAACATGCTTATGATAATTTGTTGATTTCTCAAAATACAGAGGTTAGGTAAAATTCCAGTAATGAGATCTGCTACACTGGGCCCTGTATGATGTGTCTGTCTACTTCTCCTAGAGCTTCAGATGTTTAGAGCCTCCTAAGAATATAATACGGTTCTCTTCAAGCCTTTTGTCATGTAGGTCCTGCTGCCTGAATGTCCTCAAACTCCACCCCTCTCCTAGAATACTCCTATTCATCCTTTAGAACATCATTAGGGATCCATCCTTACTCCTCCTCTATTTCCATGATATTTCAGGGGCATGTTCACTGTTGTACTCAATTTGTTTATCGTTATCTCTTTATCTCTCTCAGGTGAAAATTATCACTATATCTCTGGTAGCTAATGTAGTATTTGTGTTTAGTAGGTACTTAATCATTGTTGAATGAATGAATTCACCAATTAGCAAATAACTCTAATTTAAGTGACTCATTCATTGGTAAGACAGCATATGACTCAATGTATGTTTTCCTTTCCTTTAAAATTATAATTAGCTCAAAAAGTTCACATAAAATCAACAGTCTGAAAATCAAGTATATGATTGACTTTAGTCTAAATTTAATCTTATCAGTGAAAAATGATGAATGTTAAAGAATCTTTTTAAAATGTGGTGTCAATATTGTCACAGTTTTATAATATTCACTCATCCCTCAAGGAACACCTATTGAGTGCTCTATCTAGGCACCACTAGTAATGGAGAAACAATAGGAAATAAAACAAAATGCATGCCTGCAGGGGGATTTTAACTAAATCCCTATGTGTGAAGTAAACAACTTTAAAATGGAACTTAAAATAATAGTTGTTCAATTAAATCTCTCCAAGCAAGCAGTCAGAACATTTAGAATGGCTTCATGACATCTTAGAAACAGACCCTGAGGGAAAGCACAAAAGCATCTGAAATGTGGAGATGTGGATTCCACCCATCAGTGTTTACACCTTCTGTTTTTTTCTCAGGACCTTTTAGACTACTTGTTCTACAACTATTTGAATGATTGAAAAGTATCTTCTCCAAGTGTTGAGTTTCTGGTTGTGTGTGTGGATAAATAGCCTTGGATTCCCACTATAGAAGACTCTGGAAGAAAAATTAGGGTCTCAGAGTTTATGCACTCAGCCAACTTAAAACAATTTGCACAGGAACATACCAACACAAGAGGAGACCAAAGATGCTGCATACAGATATTCAAGTCTGTAGAGTGATAGAATTTAATTGCTCTTTTTTAGAGAAAGTGAAAATATTGTTCATTTAATTAACAATTATATATTTATGCTCAAAGGGAAATGTTCAGAAGAAGTTCTCGACTTGTTTTCAAAAAATATGTGATTTAGCAGGGTGTGGTGGCACATACCTATAATCCCAGCTACTCAGGAGGCTAAGGCAGAAGGATTGCAAGTTCAAGGCCAGCCTCAGCAGTGAGGCCTCCAGTAACTTAGTGAGACCCTGTCTTAAAATAAAAAATAAATAAGACAGGGGGATGTTTCTTGGTGGTAAAGTGCCCCTGGGTTCAATCTCTGGTACCCCTCCCCCCAAAAAAATGCAATTTAGTTGGGGTTATATCAAGAAAACAAAATGATGACAGTCAGTGAATGCCATTAGATGCAATATGCAAAAAGCTAGAATTTTAGTACAAGAAATTTTAGTATCAGAGATTTTAGCACTTCCTGTTACAATGTCCATCAGAGTTTTACTTGTGTTGATATTATGAGAAACATGGACAAGGATTGAGCTAAAAAAAACTAAGATATCATTAAAACCAGGTCATTTGAGCTTTGGTGTCCTGCTTTTCTGAAGACAAATCTGATAAGCTTTGCTTAATGGTAACTCCCTGCTTGCTGGATAATATCATGCAGACTTCCCTAGGGCCATTTCAAGGAAATGTGGGTTACCCTCCTCTAACCTTCAGACCTATTTGTTTCTAGCTTAATATCTCTTGTTGAAAATCTAAGGCATCTCAAACTTAACATGTCATGCTTCTGAAATCCCCAAACCTGCTCTTCTTCATCTTGTTCATCTTCATTAATCTCAAAGCCCCAAATCCTGGTACCTCTTTCTCTCTCACATTCTGCATCCTATCAGCTAGCAAATTCTGTAGGTAGATCTCTAAAATGAGTTCAGAATCTACCATTTCTTACTTTATTATGTATTAGCACCCTAGTCTAACCATCTTTCACCCTAGTCTAACCATCTTTCACCTAGATGATAACAATAGCTTGCTAAATTGTCTCTCTTTCCACCTCTGCTCTTTCTCAAACTATTCTCAATAGTCTGAGTGAACCTATTGAAACCCATTTCCAGTCATGACAGTCTGATACTCAGAATCCTTCAGTAGCTTTCCTTCTTACTCAGCAATTGCTGAAGCTCTTGCTATGTCCTGTTAGGAAATAAATTATCTGACACACGATAATTTCCCTGATCTTATTTTTTTAACCCTTCTTCTCTCATTCTCTTGATTCCAGACCCACAATTTACTGGTTGCTTCTTGACACTCTGCAAACTTAGGGCCTTTGTGCTTGCTGGTCCTCTTTCATGGAATGCTATGCTTTCCTGACCTTCCTAAGATATCAACACCTTTCCCGACATATGTCCTTACCTGCTTTACTTCTCCTTTGCACTGTGAGCAGGATTTTTTGCATTCTTTGTTCTCCATTGTATTTGACAACCTAGAATAGTACCAGTCACATAGTATGTGCTCTATAAATATCTGTAGAATAAATGTGGAATGAATTCGACCAGATGCTTCATGAGCTATCCCAGTTATTTCCCAGGGAACCCTGGAGGCTTTTCCCACTGTGGGTACTGCTGGGGCTCTGCTGCTAATGCTGCCAGATTCCCAGCCTGGTCTTCAGTGTTGCAGAAGTGCCCCTTCTCTACCAGTGTGGGTGAACTTATTCAGGGACTTTAACAATGTTTTCAGCAAAAGATGCTTTGACATTCAACCACATTGATTCACCATTTGCAGAATCACTTTTCTTTTTCTATTTTCCAATTTCTTCTAGGCTCTTATCCTTCTAGCTCAGTGGCTTCCATCTATGGCTACATGTAAGAGTCACCACAGGGAACTTTAGAAAACCTCACAGAGGTTCTTATTTAATGGGTCTGGGTATGGGAGGGAAGTGAGACCTAGGATGCTTATGTCTTAAAAGCTCCCCAAGTAATTGCAATATGCAAGGCAAGGTTATACATCATGGTCCTAAGTGAATTCCTGGGTCTCAGATGTGTTCATTAACCTGTGATCACATTCTCTGCTTCCAACTTCACACTTCTTTGAGAGGCTGAGTTGTGTAAGATGCATTCTCACAACACCATGTATTTGGATTTACACAATGTGAGATTACATTTTAAATATCTAGGCCTCTGGAAATAACATAATGATGAAGCAGAGAATATGTTTTTGGAAGAGACCTTTAACTAGGGATAAGTCGTGTGAACATGGGTTGTAAAGTCCGTCTAATTCAGCAAGTACCTATTGGATTTCTATTGTGTCCACAATTCCTAGTGCTGTATTAAGAGTTGTGATGTTGGAGTGGGAAGGAAGGAGGGTGCTTGATCTGTCCCTACCCTCAAGGAATTAAAGATTATTAAGAGAACAAAATAACACACCACAAAGGGTTAAAATATATTTACCTACTTCCATAAAACGCAAGGAGAAATGGACTGAAGCATAGAAAGTCGAAATAGCCAGGATGTGAGGATATTGCCTTATTAGGGAAAAATGAGGACAATTAAATAATTAAGAGGAATTATAATGACAATCTCCAGTGAAGAGATCCACCAAGACTTTTGAAATTGTTGCCAACACAAAACATTAATTTGTGCATTCTATGCTTTGCCCAAAGCTACAGTTTGATTAATTATTTATTTTGCATAAAGCAGATGACTGTGATTTCCAAAGTGATTGCAGTGATAGCTTAGGGTTATTGGTTTACCCAAAGAAAGTTTGGCACATCAACCCATTCAGGAAATAACCTTGTGAATGCGTTGTTTCCTCTAACCAGTTCTTACAAACCAGTTATTAGACAGATTTTTCTCTCCCCAGGAATCTGACCTCACCTTCCGATTGGCCAGTGGTCTTGTAATATGGCAGCCTATGTGGGAGCACAGACAGCCGGAAGTCTCTGGCTTCACAGCATTGGTAAAACCCATTAGGAACATCATTACAGGTTTGTGATTCCTTCACACTTTGATGTAAGGGTGGTGGGATGATTTTCCCTTAAGAAGTTTAGAATAAGAACATCTGGGGGGGGGGGGCGAATCTGGATGTCCCAAGTACAGGGCTTATTCATATCCAACAGGGACTCATGCTTTTCTATTGTGTGACTTTGGGTAAGTTCCTTCATCTGTAAAATGGGAATTAAAGCATCATGTTAATAGAATTTACAGGATTATTGTAAGGAACAAATGAGTTAAAATATGTAAAATGTTCTAAAAACACAGTGACTGCCTGGCACACAGAAAATGAGTAAGCAGTATCTCTTATTATAATTATCATTTTATCATTATCATAGTAGATGAAGTAGATGCTATCAAAGCATTTCACTTCAGGAGTCATTTAATGAGATTGTGCTATTGAATTACAGAAAGAGCACAACAGGATAGCTTAAAAAATGCATGGAAGCTCATACTTCCCTCCAAGTCTGTCTCTTGCTAAGGATATGTAACTGAACTTTCCTGTCTCCATTAATGTAAAATAGAGATGATAATGCACTTTACAGGGCATCTTAGTAAACAGTAATGAGAATGTACATAAAGTACCCATTTTATAGTATGTGCTTAAAAGATTCCATTGTTCTATTCCCAACCTTATTTTTAGCAACAGTAGTTAAAACTTTTAAAAATTATTTATGTGGAAAAATCTACAGAAATATATATGTATATATATATATATATATATATATATATATATATATATACATGCACACATATATGTATATTTGCATACATACATCTTATACACACAAATATGTGTGTGTCTAGTTTGCTAACTTTGTAAGATTTTTGTGCAGACAATGGAGGATTATGCGTGTAAAAGGACTCTCTCTATAAATGGAAGGAAACTCTAAGCATGCTCTTATACACATTTTCTCCCTATAACTTAACACAACCTTGCAAAGTATATGTTAAGGAATTGTATAACCAAGGAGTGCCATGTTATTCATATATTTGGTAGGATGCTTTTAGTAGTCAATATAATCACTCAAAAGGAGAGTTAAAATTTTCAAATTATAAAAGTAGATTAATCCCAGAACTTACATGTATACAAAACATTTATGTTTGAAATACCAATTCAAAAGTGACAGCCTGCCATAGTTCCAAACATCGAAGAACTAAATCAGTAAAGGTGTCATACCCAAAAATCTACTTCAGATTCTGTGTATATAATAAGGTTACTTTGGATTCAAATAATTGGAAAGTAAATATAGAATAGATGTAAGAGGTTTTTTAAAATCTAAAAAAGGAGACTTAAGACAAAAATAATAAAATATGCTCACATGTAACAAAATTATTAGTGAAAAAGCCACATCTTTATGGTATGTTGATTAAAGAGACTTAATTTTTTAATGTTTTTAAGTCTTCCTATCACTTTCTTTCCTTTTCTCTTTGCAGTTCTGGGGGTCAAACCTAGGGCCTCATACATGCTAGGCAAGTGTTCAATCACTGAGCTACCATCTTTCACCCAGCCTTGTCTCTCTCTATGATTAAAATATAAAGTGGGGCTGGGGAAATAGCTCAGTGGTAGAGCATTTGCCTAGCATGTACAAGGACCTTGATTCTATCCCAAGCACTGGAATACCCTCCCCCACCACACACACACTGTCATTTGATATACAAAAATAACTAAGAAACCATGCCCCTCCATGAACATTTGGGTTCTTCACCTCACCCTGCCTTTGCTTCTGGATGATGCTCGTGGTTGTTTTCTTTCTCCTGTGTCTGATGATGTGCATTTGAAATGGTGCCAACATCGGAGTGCATTAGACTAGTTTAGCCAGCATGGCCAGAAAGAGCAATGGTACCTGGTGACCTTGGCAAATCCCTTTCCTTCTCAGCGCCAGACTATTCATCACTCAAGTGAGGCATTGCCATCTTAGTTTCCCACTGATCCTCATTCTAAGGTCAAGATGTAACGGATTTGAGCATTACTTAGGGGCAGCTTAATGTAGTAGTTAAAACAGAGTCTGGAGTCAGAAGCCTGAAGTCTTCATGTAAGTGTTAAGTGACCATGGGCAAGTTAAACTTCCTGTGTCTTAGTTTCTTCATCTGTAAAATGAGTATGATTTTATACCAGTATTCCAGGATTATTGAAAGGGTTACAATAATTAATATATATAAAATCCTTAGAACAGAAATTGTGGATAATATATGCTAGGTAGATGTTATCTATAATTATTTTTAGTATTCCCAACTTCATAGCATCATAACCTGAGTTAGACTTAGGTTAATGAATATTGACATTGATAACCTAGAAGTGCTAAGATTATTTTGAATCCCTTATTTAATTTCTCTTACATGTTTTATTAAACAGCTTCTTTCAAGGTGACAATGATCTGTTAAATTGGCTTTTTATTGGAATGAAATGAACTTATGAAATAAAATGAACGTAGAATCTTATAGAATTCGTGATGGAATTTCTTTGATCTTTCCAGCCAAGAGAAGTTCTCCTATAAACAGTCAAAGTCTGACCTGTGAATCACCAAATCAGGAGACAAGACACCGAGAGGTTAGTTTATTGTAATTGTAAGAAGAGAGAAAGGAACTCTGGTGTAGTGTATTGTGGAGGGTGAGACTTAAGTTCTAGAATCATACTACTGAGTTCAGAGCCCTCCTTTCTAAATGTGAAATTTTTAACAGCCTCAGGTTTTCTATCAGTCAAGTATGAAAATCAATATTATGCATCTCTCCAAAGTGAAGAAGTGCTGAAAAAATATATTGTGTGACTCCTGTTTTATCTCCATGATTAGTATGTGATAAGTAGTGCTTTATCTCACTGGCTAGTATATAACACTCTTATCATTATTCATCTCACATTAAATAAAGTATCATCTTGTTCTCAATTATTGAATCCTGTAATGTTTATTAGGTAACTCTAATGTAGGTTTAATAGTGTCTCAGGGGGTTAGGGAGGGGGAGTAGGAAGGAGAGAGAAGATGCAATCCTATCCATTACAGAATCTGAAGTTTAATGAAAAGTCATAACTTATCCACATAAACAGAAGATGCAAGATAAAAACAATGTAATTCAATGCAAATTTGTCACATTTGGTTCTTGTAAGAAAAAAGTGAAGGCCAGGGAAATGAAAGCCACATGGAAATGTATACTGCTATTAATGTAGCATGTCATTAGTTGACCTGCCTTCACTTTCATTTCAACATGTGCAAAGTGCAACTTGCTGCCTTCCATAGAAATTGGACCCCCTTTTCAACCGATGTGTTACTGTCAGGAATATCATCATTTATCTTCTTACCCTCTAAGCTGGAAATATTGGTGTCCTAGAATATATGCCATTTACTGAACAATTTCTTACACTGATTTATGTGCTTTAAGGTTTATGTATTTTTCACATTTAACATCTTTGAAATTGAGTGTACTTGACAATCTTTGACCTCTTACTATCTCCCTGCCTGGTGGCAGTCTTGATATGGTTGTCAATCTCGTGCAGCCTGAATTTGATCATTTCTAGCATTGAAATTTGCAGCATCCGGGTCAATGACTTGCAAGAATGTCAGAGGGAATAGTGGTATACTCTTGAGAAATGATGCCTCGACAAAATAACACATCTTGACATAGGAAGTTGTTCTTTGGAAAAAAGTATAAACAACTCTCAGTTAAAAATTCTGAATATGAAGAAATGTTAGGAATACCTACACCAATTTATTTCATGTATACACTCCTTTCATATATACATAGGATGGATGTGTAATGAAACGCTATGCCTATATAAGTCTAAAATAGCTCTTTCAATAAGTATAAAATGAAAGTCCTCACTGATAATAAGCCAAGTGTCCTAATTTATTTAACAGTGTACCTTTTTAACTCTATGGTGCCTAAAATAATGTATGTCTTATAAGAGATGACATCTTAAATACAGTGAAATATGTAAATCTCATACTTTTCTATATAATCCTCCTGATCTCTTGCTGAGTCATAGTGTTTCTTTTCATTATGTTACTAAGATGTGCTTTTTATTTTCTATGCCCTCTACCACCCTCCAAATCCAGAACCTCATAACTTGACTGCAGCTTTAACCACCTAATCAGATTTTTAAGTAAAGCGCCTGTATAGTGTACATATGGTGTACTCACCATATGTACATTGGATCAAGTTCAGGGGACTTGTTTCATGAAATTTCTAGCTGTATTTATTTTTCTGTAAATTGTTCTTAAATCATGACTTCTTTTGTGTATGAAAATAGAAAGTGTAAGGACAAAATTAATATGATAGATTTTTGAGAATCTTAATGCTTTAGCAAAGAATTTAATCCATAACCTATGGATAAATATCTCAGATTAAATTTATCAGCCATGTGTAATTTAAATTTCTGGATGTAACATAAACCTTACAATTTATTCTTATGTGCTAGCTTTAATTTGATTACTTCCTGCTCAATTGGTTCTGGTCTTTAGCCTCATGCTGCCATTCAGTTCTCAGTTTGAGTATATCTTTGATGAATTGTCAGGTTCATAAATCTCCTACAGATAGTGGATACAAAGGTAAAAAAGAAAGAAATCAAGGTCAAAATGAAATAAAATTTATGAAAGTACTTAGCCTAATGCTTGGAATGACAGAGGTGCTCTCTAGAAGTCTCTTTCCATTTCCTTTTCGACAGAGGCAAAAATACCTCTGTCTATGACATTATAATTAGTTTTGATGAAAAGAAACTATGTATGTAATATAGGAGGTAATTTTAGAGGATATACCTGAAGGCAAAAAAAAAAAAAAAGAAAGAAAGAAAAAACACAAAACCTAATCTGCTGTCTCCATGTCTCCACCTCCAAAAGGGACTCCAGGTGGTCTGTGAAACTTTGCAGTCTGATTCTATCTCACCCAAGGCCACCATTTCAGGCTGCCACCGAGGAAACTCCTTTGATGGAAGCTTGTCCTCCCAAACTTCCCAGGAAAGAGGCCCATCACATTCCAGGTACATGATTGCAATGTTTGAGACAAAATGTATTCCTGGTTGCCAAGAATTAAATGCGCAGTTTTAGCTACTTTCATATCCTCTGCTCTTTAAAATATATATGTGCATGCTTTACGTATACATATTCTGGAAGAAAGTATAATTAGATTATTAATTGCAGAAATGTGATCGAATGCCTCTCATTTAAGCTAACCAGGGTGGAAGTGGGAAGACATGTCTGATTTAATGAGATGTCTGAATTAGAAGCTATTTTAAATGTTTATATGCAGAAATGCCAATGATGCTATCAAAAGATTGTGTTGCAGAGATATTAAAGGATCTGCTTTAATGTTTAAGGATACTTTATTCTAACAGATCCTTGTATTGAAAGAGGTTAAAGTTTGTGGGGAGTATAAAATCTGCTCTTTGCAAATATTCCAACTTGCTTACAAACACCCTCCCCAGGAAAAAAAGCTAGTCTACTTCCTAGTCCCTGCTAAATTATTGATTCGTGAAGTTTGCTACTTCACCTAAGGCACTAGAGACCCTAAGATCATTTGTATATCTCTACTCCCAAATGAAGTCATAGTCTAGTGGGTAGTATTTTAAAAGTAGGCATTTCAAAATAGCTTTATTGAAATACAATTTCTATCCCATAAAATTTACCTGTTTTAAGCTTAGTTTAATTATTTTAACACATTTACAAAACTGTGTACCTATCACCATAATTCAATTTTTAAAAATTTCCATCACTCAAAAATGTCCTTTGTATTCATTTACAATCACTCCCATTCTCACACCTATTATACTTTCCATCTGTTTGGGGTTGCATTTCCAGACTTTTCATATGTGTGGAATAATATAGTTTTTGTTTTGTTTTGTTTTTTTTGCATCTGGCTTCCTTCACTTACCATAATTTTTTAAGGTTTATCCATATTGTTGCAGGTGTCTGTAATCCATTCCTTTGTATTGTTGAATAATATTCCATTCTATGAATCTATCACATTTTCTTCATTCATCTGCAATGGATATTTTGTCTATTATGAATATTGCTTATATGAACATTCACTTACGAATCTTTATGTGAGCATAGGTTTCCAATTCTATTGGGTAGATAGTCATGAGTAGAATTGTGTTGTGTGGCAAATTCATGTTTAATTAAAAAACACACCAAGCTGTTCTATAAAATGGCTGCATTATTTAACATCCTCCCAGTGACTTCTGAGAGTTTGTACCTCTATGTCTTTGGGAACATCTGTTATTGTCTGTCTTTTTTATTATAGTTATTTAAAAGGGTGTAAAATGGGATCTGATTGTGGTTTTGTTTACTTTTCCTTAATGACTAATGATGTTAAGTATATCTTACTGTGCCTATTAACCATTCAAAGATCTTCTTTGATGAAACATCTATTCAAAACTTTCACCAACTTTTTAACTGGGTTACCTTATTATTGATTTTTAAAAGTTGTTTGTATATTCTGGATATAAATTCTTTCTCAAAAAAAGAAAAGATTAACAGATATTTCCTCCTAATATCTGGTTTACCTTTTCATTTGATAATTTTTAAACAGTCTACCTCCATCTGGTACCAGATCCAAGTTACATGAATACAGTGTTTTCAAAAGATCTTAAAATTATTGAAAACACAGAGTATTATAAATGCAATTCCTTTTTTAACCCCAATACTATATGTTATGCTTTAAAAAATGATATGTAAAAGTGTGTTTATCTTTGCATCTTTATTGGAACTTTAAAAGCAAGTAACCTAATTAGATAATCATCTGCTAGGTGATAATATGAAGATTGAAAGCAACCTTGGTTATGTAGTAAGTAAAATGGATTTTGTTTATCCACTCATTTACGTCCCAGGTCAATAGTGATGATGAGTACTTAAAATCACATATATGTGAAACTAAAGAAGATGAACTCATTGAAGTAGAAAGTAGAATGGTGGTTATCAGAGGTTGGGGAGGGGTTTGGATGAGAAATGGGTGATGTTGATCAAAAGATGCAAGATTTCAGGAGAAGAGGAGAAATAGGCTTTAGTGATTTCTTGCACAGAGCAGTAGTTTGTTATTATAATAAATAATAATTCATTGAATATTTCAAAATTACTAAAAGGGTAGATGTAAAATTTTTTCTCTACATGCACACAAAGATACATATGTGAAGCGATGGATTTGCTAATTAGCTTAATCTAATCATTCCACAATCTAAATGTACATCAAAAAATCACATTGTATGCCTTCGATATAGAATATATACAATTATTCTTTCTCAATGAAATTACACATGAATGTGGAAGCAACTCTGAGAGTAATCCAATCTCCTATCATCTCTCTGATGCATTAGTGGCATTGAACTGCTTGAGGATTTTAAGCAATAGGGAATTTAGTATTTTCTTATTTTTTATTTCATTTTCAGATAGCTCTATTTAGTGCAGTGTCCTTATATTTGACCCAATTTGCTCTGTGATTTCTATGATTTTTGTATTAGGTTTTGTTTTGTTTTGTTTACTGCTACATAACAAACTACAACAAACTTAGTAAAACAAAACACATTTATTACCTCATAATTTCTGTTGGAAGAAATCCAGGCACAACTTAGCTGGGTTTCTTCTAGTTTAGGATCTCAGCATCCTGTAACCTGGGTGTCACCATGGGCTGCCTGCCATTTCCTCAAATGTTTGAATAGGGGAAGATCCACTTACAAGCTCCCTTGGGTTGTTGACAGAATTCATCTCCTTGTGATATAGGACTGAGATCCTTGTGTTCTTTCTGGATATTGGCTGCACCTGCTCTTAGATCGTAGAGGCTACCCAAAGTTCATTTCCACGTGATCCTCTCCATAGGCTAGCTCACATAATGGTAGCTTGTTTTTTCAAAACCAGCAAGGACTACAAATTGTAATTCCAGTCTGCTTGTTCATGGTCTTTGTAATGCCAGATAAACTCAGAGTGACATCTTATCACCTTTGTCATATAAAGTAATCTAATTATGGGAATGACATCCCATTAGCTTTGCCATGTTCTGCTGCTTATGAGCAAGATAAAGGTTCTGCCTACACCCAAGGGAAGATTCCATACGTTGTGAACACTCTCAGATGAGAATTAAGGGTGGTTTCCTAAGGTCTGTCTGCAGTCTTTTGGAAGATGTACAAATTCCTCCCATATTGCCTTTATTCAAAAAATAACTATCATGACCACTCCCACCCCCAGAAAGCTCTCATTTAATTTGATGACAAAAATGACATTCAAAGTTATCAAGAACATAATTAAATTGTATGTGGAGGAAATGTAATTACTTAGGACACAGAATAACAATAAGAACTACCTTTTCTGTAGCATGGATGAACCTGCATGATACTATGCTAAGTAACATATACAAGACATAGACAAATGTCTTACTTGTGAAATTTAAAAGAGACAATCTCATAGAAGCAGAGAGTATTAGAATGTGATTTTTAAGGGCTCAGAGGAGGGGAAAATGGGGTGACGTTGATCAAACATTATAGTTCAGGAAAAATACCCGACCCTTTATAGACATCAACATATGCAAAACAGTGCTAGAGTAAATAATCCATGGTATTATGTAAATACTCATTTATTCATTCATTTCCACTTTTCTAGATGGCATCACTATTGACCCTGTCAAAAACTTGAAGTTCACTGCACACAAAGTCTTTTACCTCCTTAAATCTCTCAAATCCTTTCCCTTGTCTCCAATCTCATAGTCAATTATTCAGAGCCTTATCATTTCCTACTTGGATTTCTGCACCTGTTTCCAAACTAATATTTTGACTATCAGTATTGGCTTCTCCCATCCAGTTACATATGTGCTGTTTCCAAAGTATTTAAAAATGCCTGTGGACTAAAGAAATGAGTTATCTGCACCCAACACACCCAACATACCACAGTGAAGCAAATATAACATAACTGCTATGGACCTGCCTATTGAAAGGGATCAATTGGGAGGCACTGGTTCATAGCAGTTTTGAAATGAAGCTAGAAAAACACTGGAAGCCCTTTGATTAGGACTCAGTCCCACTCTTGATTTTATCCTCTAAATCAACTTTCCTTTTCTGAGAAAGATAGCATACATTTACAGCTGAATAATTTTCTTAGCTTGTTTCTTGCTGGTAAAATTTTAGGGATACAATAGCTTCTTTTCCTTTTGCACTGTCTCTAGAAGTATTTTTGTTGATATAATTATTTTTAAAACTTTATGAGTCCATTGTTAATCTTATTGGGGTTCACTAAACTAGACAAACTTCATACCCATTATTATCTCTTTGAGATAATTCCATCTCTGTCTTGGACTTCCATTGAAGGACAAGATTTTAAATTTCTAAGAACTCCTCTCTTCCTCTGTTGCTGTCTCTTTCTCCCCAACCCCCCCTTCCTGCTATCTCTCTCTCTATTTCTCTCTCTCTCTCTCTCTCTCTCTCTCACACACACACACACACACACACACACAAACACACACACACATAGTCTTTAGAGGGACTTCTGTCTGCTGAAGCAATATTCTGAGATGACCTTAGATCATTCATTGTGAGTCTATACAAATGACTTTGTAGCTTACCCTTAGCCTTATCTTTAGACTGTTTTTCCAGCAGCTCACTAGCTATTCTGTTTGCTTGGAAGTCATTTCATAAATTTAATACCATTTGTTATCAGGAAAAGCTGATAATTTTCAATATCATCAAGTTCACTCTGATTAACTGTTAATAATTTCTCCTTTAGTTCATATTCTTCTCTTGACTTGCTATAATTAGCAAGAAGAAACTAGAAGATATCTTTGACATTGTATTTGGAAATCTTTTTCATTCTATCACCTGGTTTGTTAGGCACATTTTTAAAAAACTTTCCATATCACAGCAAGAAAATTTCTGCCACCAAGTAATAAGGATGCCCCTCCTCCAGTTCCCAGTAGCATCCTCCTTATTTCCATTAAACCCTTGTCAGCAGCCTCCTCAAAGTTCAGAAGTTCTACTTGACAATCTGTGCAAGGAAAGTTGTA